TGTATGGTGTCCATCTCCCACGCGTGTGTTCATTAAATCATCGTTTGACTTGACCCGGCCGGACCAGTGTGGTTATTTTGGTTTTCCTCCTGTATCCATTCCCAATATTTGAATCCGTAACAAAAGATAACAAAGTTATTCTAAGAACTCAGAGCTGAGGTTCCCCTTTTCTAAGTCTGTATGTTCTTAGAAAAGAGGAAGCTGTTAGTTGCTAAATAAGTTTATCACACAAGAGTTTATGTGAAAAGTCACGTAGACATGTGGATTGCTTAGTGATCCATAAAAAGACACAGTTCATGTAGCTGATCACACTGTGTACAATTTTCTTTTGACAGCTATCATGGTGTATTGGATGTTTGTGTGTGTCGGTCTGCACATGTGTGGTCATCTACAGAGACCATGTTTTAGAGTCTGACAGCGGTTGGAAAGAAACACCTGTGAAATCTCTAGGTCCCACATCATGAGTGCTGCAGCCTGCCACTGAAGGAGCTACTCACTGCTGTCAGAGTCTCCTGCATGGGGTGGGAGATGTTGTCCAACATGGATGACAGCTTAGCCATCATTCTCACCACCTCCACTGGGTAAAGAGGGCCAGTCTCTGCAGCAGGTACAGCCTGCTCTGCCCTTTTCTGTAGAGGGCGTCTGAGTTATGAGTCCAGTCCAGTCTGTTGTTCAGATGAACACCAAGGTACCTGTAGCTATCCACAGCCTCAATGTCCATATCTTGGATGCTTAGTAGTTGCAGTGGAGGATGTTTTTGCCTGTGGAAGTCTACCACCAGCTTCCTGGTTTTACTAGTGTTGATCTGTAGGTAGTTCTGCTGGTACCAGACCACAAAGTCTTGGGTCAGTTCTCTGTACTCCCTCTCATCCCCATCAGTGATGAGGCCGACTATTGCAGAGTAATCAGAGAACTTCTGCAGGAAGCACTGGGTGGAGTTGTGGGAGAAGTCTGCAGTGTAGATGGTGAAGAGGAACGGAGCCAGAAATGTTCCCTGTGGGACACAGCCCTGAGTTCTCACATAATGTGGTCGGTCGGGGAGGTAGTCCACCATCCATGTTGTGAGGTGATTGTCCACTCCTGTGTTCCCCAACTTGCCCTTCAGAACTGTGTGAAGAATGGTGTTAAAGGCACTGGAGAAATCAAAGAACATGATCTCACAGTGCTCCCAGTGGTCCCCAGGTAAGAGAGGAAATGATGTAGGAAGTGATTGACGGCATCATCAGTGACTCCAGTGCCAGGTTGGTAGGCAAACTGAAGCGGGTCCACTGATGTGAAGCTGTGCCAGGTCGAAGCTTGCCAGTATCTTCATCAGGTGGGATGTCAGAACCACTGGCCTGTAGCTGTTGAGGTCCTTGGGAAGTGGAGTCTTTGGCACTGGTACAACATAAGAAGTTCTCCAGAGCTGTGGAGCTCTCCCCAGCCTCAAGCTCAGGTTGAAGATGTGCTCCATCATCCCACACATATGATCTGTGCAGGACTTGATAACCCTTGAGCCGATGCCATCTGGACCCGCTGACTTCCTGGCTCTGATCCTCCTCAGTTCCCTCCTAACTTGGATGGTCGAAAGAGACAGTCTGTAGTCGTGTGTTGGATGCTGTGGTTGGGGGGTGGGGAGTAGTGAGCAGGGTGAGAGAGAGGAGGTGTGAAGTGACTGAGGTGTCAGAGGGGGAACAGCTGCAGTGGGTGAGTGTTCAGCTGATGTTGAAGACTGTCTCCTGGATTAATCAAATCTGTTAAAAAAGTGATTCAGTTCATTTGCCCACCTCATATCCCCCACAGGCAGAGAGTTTTGATCTGTGTGGCCAATGATGGTTCTAAGGCCTCTCCAGACTTCACTAACATTATTCTGCTGAAACTGGTTTTCCATCTTCTGCCTGTAGCTGTCCTTCCCATTCCTGATCAGACCTTTCAGCTCTCTCTGCACCATTTTCAGCTCCTTCTTGTCTCCAGCTTTGAAGGCCCTCCTCTTCTGCTTGGGGACAGCTTTAATTTCTGGGGTAAAGGTTTGTTGTTGGAGAAACACTGCATGGTCCTGGTGGGTATGATGTTATCCACACAGAAGTTAATGTAGCCCATAAGGCAGGTCACAAGGCTGTCGATGTCTTCCCCATGGTTGTCACAAAGCACCTCCCACACAGTAGACTCAAAACAGTCCTTAAAAGCCTCCTCGCTCTCCTCCGACCATCTCTGCACTGTGCAAGGCCAGTCCAGACAGCATACCAATTGTGGCCAGGGTAGGACCCTGGTACGCTGTGACCTTCAGCTCTGGCGCTCTCGCGCCCGACCATCTCTGCACTGTGCGGGCAATTGGTCGCTCCCTGCGCACTAAAGGCTCATATACAGGAACAAGGTGCACCATGTTGTGATCAGATCTTCCTGGGGGAGGGAGAGACTGACCAGGTTGGCATCGTTATAGCTCTTCCATCTTATTAAGGAGTGTTCTCACATTTCCCATGATCAAAAAAGGGAGAGATGTCTGTAACGTCTCCGATGCGACAACACTCCCTCCAGGCACGACACCCCCTTTTCTTCCTCCTCACCTCACTGGGGATGTCAGGTCTGTCCGCCAGTAGCACAGCTGCAGCTGCAGGGCACAGTGCTAACAGCTGATCCCTAATATAAACAAAGGAGCCATGCGCCAGGTCTCCAAACACAGGTAAAAGACAGAAAAAAATGACCAGAACTCACACGAAATGGTAGTGCATGATAGCAGAATCTAATTACTAAGACCTAAGTTAAAGGTTAAGAGAAGTAAAGAGGAAAATAAGAAAGAAGCAGAGCTGCCGTAAGAATTCTGTCTTAAAGTACAAAAGAAATCACTGCCAAGTCTGTACTGTCTATACTGTATTTCTGAAGAGAGTCGTTAAAAGTATTTTTCAAATGTTCAAGCTTCAGATGGAACATAATATCCTCTATCCATAGCTTATGAGCTGGAGGGGAAGCTTATTACCAATTGAAAAGTATGAAGCGTCGTGCAAGTAGCGTGATGAATACTATTGCATATCTCATTGTGTCTGCCGTGGTATGTTTACAGTAAAGATACCACGGCAGACCCAATAACTGTTTCTTGCTAGATGGGAAATCTATATGGACCGGACCATACCATATTTCAATTTTTTGATAGCCTTATTGTGGTGTGAATGAGACACGGGTCCAGAAATCATTAATCAGAGCCTCACCACACACCCCCATCGCCCGATTGAGGCTGGGGAGCCATCTGGCCGAACCTACTCCCCCCAGCCAGCTTCCAACATGGCGACAGGGCCGTGTCCCTTCCGTAGGCTGCCCACGCCTCCCGTGGTGGCAGCAACGCTGGTCTGGAGTCCGGCCACGCCTCCAGCAGCGACGACAATGCTGGTCCGGAGGCCACCTGGCGAGCCGGCACGACCCTGCAGGGACGGCCGTGAGCTCCCGCTCAGGCGGCTGGGCCGGCATTTGTCACTCTGGAGCAACTCGCGCCTCGACCTCGGACCCAGGTCGAGAAGGCTCCCCTGACATGGGGACCACCATTTTCCCACACAGTTCCTCCACCACTCCCGGCTGGAGAGGACCCTCGTGTGTCTCCTCCATCTCCAGCTGTAGCAGCTCCCCCTCCTCCAGCGGGCACGGACCCTCTCACTCCTCCACCACTCCAGAAATTGTTAATCAGAGCCATCTTTAGTCATTCATACTGCAGCTCACAAGCTGCCAGCCGCACATAACATCACACCACAACTCTCTCAACCCCTGCTTCCCCGTGGTTTTAAACACGGCGGGCGTGATAGCGGATGCTGTGCAGGTGCGTCCGCACGACACCGGCGACCAGGCCTCACCACACTCTTTTATTTCTGATGGCGTAATGTCATTCTTCAATTTGGATTTATCCAAATGAGAGTGTTCATAGCCAAATTACAAAAAAAATCTTCCACTAAGGCTGCATTACAGGCTTCAGAAGTATACAAATTTTCATAAAATGACTGAACTGAATATTAATATAATTTGGGGTGGTAAGTATGTTTCCACATTCATCCTTTATTGCTGTAACAATGAGGATGATTTTTTATTAGTGCAAATAGCTCCCACAGGTTACCCTTCCTTCCAAGCTACTAAAATAATACCAGAAATAACAAGTGCCATGTTAAATAAGCTACTCAGGTTACGTCTTATCAGGGTTAGTATGGAAAACACCTGGCTGATTTCGAGGTAGCTAGTACTGGGCGAGTGCCCTCACCCACATCAGCATCAGAATTCTGCATTGTCCACTGGGCAAGACTCATAGGATCAGGGATTAGGACCTTTTTTTTAAATCAGCGAGCTGAAATTGACATCCCGTATAGGGGTTTTGTGGGCCTACCGATTGACACGTTGAGTGAATTAAATAACTGAGACTTCCATTTCTGACCTAGAATGAACAGAGAAAGAGAGAGATTAGGACACAATTAAAAAAAACACAAGTACAACATATCCAAAAGAAATGTAGAAAAGAGAGAGAGGCAGGACTACAGGAAGAAAATAGTGAAGCTTTTGGCCAAGACGAAGGGAAGAGGGAAATCAATGTCCAATAAAAACTGAAAGAAAGAAGGGGGAGGAGTTGAGAGGATGTGGTGTGGGGATCAGTTATATTACTAATTCTAGTCATAACTCTGCCAGAGCTGGAGCTCTGTGCAGGTCTGTGGAGATGGATACTCAGGATGGAGCAGAGCTCTGCTTTCCACAACTCTTCAACATCTCCTGCAAGAAACCTACAACTCCTCTGTCTCAAGTTTTGCTCATTTATACTGTTGTGTCCTCAATGTCTCTGCTGACTGTGACTCTCAACCTGCTCGTCATCATTGCAGTCTCCCACTTCAGGCAGAGTTTCATATTTTTTACCTGCTGCTGTGGCCTTACAAGTCTATACCTCATTTGTTATACCTGTTTGAATAGTTTCTTTCTGTTGACTTTTTAAAAAATTATATCTTCCTGTCTTTCTAGGCAGCTCCACACACCCACTAACATCCTGCTCCTTTCTCTGGCTGTCACTGACTTTCTCGTTGGTCTTCTGTTTATGCCTGGAGAAATCCTGCGAAATACAGCGTGTTGGTTTCTTGGTCAGCTCACATGTTCACTGTATAATTATGCATCCTACATCATTGCCTCTGCCTCAGTGGGCAACATGGTGCTGATATCAGTCGACCGCTATGTGGCTATTTGTGACCCTCTGCATTACCCCACCAGAATCACAGAGAGAAGAGTGAAACTCTGCGTCTGTCTGTGTTGGCTCTGCTCTGTTTTCTACAGCTATGTGATTTTAATAGATGATCTAAGTCAACCAGGCAAGCATAAATCTTGCTATGGAAAATGTATAATTTTCATTGAATTCATTGCAGGATTTGTTGACCTTGTTTTAGCTTTTATTATTCCACTTACTGTCATCATTGTTCTGTATATGAGAGTGTTTGTGGTGGCTGTGTCTCAGGCCCGTGCCATGCGCTCTCAGGTTACAGCTGTCACACTGCAGCTCTCAGTGACTCTAACAGCAAAGAAATCAGAGTTAAAAGCAGCCAGGACTCTGGGTGTTCTTGTTCTTGTGTTTCTATTATGTTTCTGCTCATATTACATTATTTCACTTTTTGGAAACGAGTTGCTCAATAGCTCATCTGCATCGATTGTGATCTATCTGTACTATTTTAACTCCTGTCTAAACCCTTTGATTTATGCTATGTTCTACCCCTGGTTTAGAAAAGCTGTGAAACTAATTGTGACTCTACAGATACTGCAGCCTGGCTCCTGTGAGGTCAGCATACTGTAGAAAAAAGAAATCTTTCCTTAATGTACCAAATGGTATACCAAATTACTTTCTCTATCAATAATGTACTACATTAATTTTACGATATTTAACAAGTAATATGCCATACATTACATTTCTTGAGTAATAACCCCAACACTGGCTGTCAAATAGTGCTGGTTTCAATTATAGAGGCCTAGAAAAGGGTTAACAACCCACTGGCAACCTCCTGTCACTAGCAACAAAATGTGCATTCTGATACTGTTTGCCGAATGGTTGCCAGCTATCACTGGGTCAGACTGGTTGAAAACAGTGTCACAAAAACCACGACATGATTGCTTTAATCACCAAAATGTTGCTGTGGCTACTCAGAGGGAAGATTCCAGCTTTTCAAGTTTGCCTTGTTACCAGGCAGCTGCAAACCAGTCTTTAGCCCTGTGTGACTGATGACTCCTATGTGGAGTGTATCTTGAGACCTGGGGTAGAAAGAGACTACAATGCCCCCCTGGATACCTTTACATCACAGCTAACAGATGCTAAAAAAAAGTCTTAATATCCAGCTTTATGTGATTGAAAATTATCAGAGTGTGTGTGTGGGTGTATGTGTGTGCGGTTGAAGCAACACTCTGAAGACACTAATTTGAGAGTCTGACTTACCAAATGTGTGATTTAATAAAATACGTTTCATAAAAGAAATAAATGGTGATTGACAGCAGAGTTTTTAAAAAGTAACAGAAACTCTTAATATGAATTTGAATTATTGAGGGATTGCATTACAATAAATGTTCAAGTGAAAATGTGCTACACACAAATTTAATTCAAGTAGAATAACACAAACTGAAAAAACTGACGGAGAGGTAAGTGACGGAAGTGATGAACAAGGTAAGCGACTCATGTTGTAACTGACGTCAGACGCTGGAGATTTTGGTGGAAAATTAAAGCGAATGGTAGTTTAGAATTGAACAAAGTTTCTTTAAGCTTCAGTATTACCAAATATACTAATCAATTGTCATATATATCCTGGATTTTGGACTACCTCACTGACCGACCACAGTATGTGAGGACTCAGGGCTGTGTGTCGGACAGGGTCGTCTGCAGTACGGGGGCCCCACAGGGAACGGTTCTGGCTCCGTTCCTCTTCACCATCTACACTGCAGACTTCTCCCACAACTCCACCCAGTGCTTCCTGCAGAAGTTCTCTGGTGACTCTGCAATAGTCGGCCTCATCACTGATGGGGACGACAAGGAGTGCAGAGGACTGACTCAAGACTTTGTGGACTGGTGCCAGCTGAACTACCTCCAGATCAACGCCAGTAAAACCAAGGAGCTGGTGGTAGACTTCCGCAGGCACAAGCATTCTCCACTGCAACCACTGAACATCCAAGGTATGGACATTGAGGCTGTGGACAGCTACAGGTACCTTGGTGTTCATCTGAACAACAGACTGGACTGGACTCATAACTCAGACGCCCTCTATAAGAAAGGGCAGAGCAGGCTGTACCTGCTGCGGAGACTCCGGTCATTTGGAGTGGAGGGCCCACTCCTGCAGACCTTCTATGACTCTGTGGTGGCCTCTGCTATCTTTTATGGTGTGGTCTGCTGGGGCGGCAACATCTCTGCTGGGGACAGGAAGAGACTGAACAGGCTGATCCGAAGGGCCAGCTCTGTTCTAGGAGGCCCTCTGGACCCAGTGGAGGTGGTGAGTGACAGGAGAATGGCGGCTAAGCTGTCATCCATGTTGGACAACATCTCCCACCCCATGCAGGAAACTCTGACAGCACTGAGCAGCTCCTTCAGTGGCAGGAGACTGCGGCACCCACGGTGTGGGACGGAGAGATTTCACAGGTCTTTCCTCCCCACTGCTGTCAGACTCCACAATAAAGACTTTAACTGATCAAACACACACATCCACAAATGTGCAATAATCTTTTCTGGCATTGTTGTATTTTTACTCAGTTGTATATAGCATTTGTATTCTATTTTTTCTTATTGTATATTTTATTCTATTTTATTCTACTGTATATAGTATTTTATTTTATTCTATTCTGTACAGTTGTGTACTGTATTTATTCTTATTGTATTCTAATTTTTACTTCATAACTTTTGCACTGTCCACTTCCTGCTGTGACAAAACAAATTTCCCACGTGTGGGACTAATAAAGGTTATCTTATCTTATCTTATAACTAACATCTGTCCTATCATCTCTAACACCCTGGAGGACAACGGGGAGAGTTTAGACGCTTTCCAAGATTACATCGACCGCTGTTTCCAAGATTTAGTCATGAAGAAGGCTCAGAGTACATCTTCCCCGGCCAAAATTGAGTCACCGTCATCGAAGAGATGTCGCCCGGCAGACTCCCCCGGCACAACATTGCCTGCTGCAAAGACATTGCAGACATCCTGGAGTTAATCGACAAGCAATTGTCCAGTTTCGATGCGAGGCTGTCCCTGGTGGAGATTTTACACCGGGAATTTAAATCTCTGCGAGAATCCCTGGAGTTCAGCCAGCAGCAGGTAGAAACGCTTGCCGCTGAAAATGTCATGCTACGGGAGTCGGTCAAATCTCTTACCGATAACGTGACCCAGCTAAACATAGAAAATAAAAAAATAAAAGAGTCTGTTATCAATCTACAAGCCCGTAGCATGCAAGACAACCTTGTGTTTTCTGGTATTCCAGAATCTGCCGGAGAGGACGCGGAGGCAACGGTGAAAAGCTTCATTAAAATCCATCTGAAGCTGCCAGAGGACTCTGTAAAGAACATCGCCTTGGTAGAGTGCATGGCTTGGGGGCCGTGAGGTCGCCGGTGTTGTGCCAAAGTAGGTATCCCCGACAGAATTTGTTTCCCCTGCGTCGGGAGCACACGCTGGACTGTCCAAATCACGGACAAACAG